GAGAGAGAGAGAGAGAGAGAGAGAGAGAGAGAGAGAGAGAGAATGCAGTAGCCTAATTAGCTCAAAAAATGTAAATATAAACAGTGTACAAGTAATACCTTTGGACTCAAAAGACTTGTCTTTCAAGTGTTTATGCAGTAAAATTATTTCTGAAAAGAAAAGAGAGAATAAGGACTCTGTCTACTTTGTTTACCTCCATATCCTCAGCCTATACTAGGTGCTAAATATTTGTTGAATCAACAAATGAAAAATTATCATATACTGTACCTGTAATGTACAAGGTATTATATATGGTTAATTGAAAGGCATTCAGTAAAATTTAACATCCATTCCTGGGAATTTGCATTTTAAGCAAGTATGTATTCTAGATAATTTCTATGTTCACTAAACATTGAGAACTGCTGGTTTACCAAAAATGTTAAGACCACTTAGTTTAGAAACCAAAATGATGAAAAACTAGAAATATTACCTTAAAAGTTAAAAACAGCATAGCTGTTATAACACTGTTCTGGCAACTTTAATCAAGGCAATGGGGGGGATAAGAAAAAAAAACATTATTACATTATCAGAAAAAAAGATAATTACATTAGTTTGCAGGTGAAATGACTGCCCTCCAGGAGGACCAATTAAAAACTGTTGGAATATAAGTTGAAAAAACATGGAAAATTCAAGATAAATACTAAAATGATTTTCAATAGGCCAGAAATAATCATAAGAAATAATGGGAACATAAATATTTACAATAAAAACAAGTCCAAATATCAAGGAATAAACTAAACAGGAAATGTATATGAAGAAAACTACCCAACTTTACTAAAGGATGAAAAATAGCAATTTTCTTGCAGAGGCAGCTGGCAGCACAAGTCTTCCCAAAAGGAAGAAATCTTCGTCCAAGGAGGAAACAGGTAGTGATCCAAAAGAGGCAGGCAGCAGGAGCATCTCCAAGAAAAGGCGGAAATTCTCTTCTTAGGAGGAACGGGTCAGCAGTGGGCCTGAAGAGGCTGCTGGTGGCAAGAGCAGTGCCAATAAAAAGAAAAAAAGTTCCAAAATCCGTCTCAGGATGATTAGAATGAGCATTCCTGGTACAGAAAGGTCATACCCCATAGTGACATTTCCCAAACCAATAAAAACAAATTCACACATAAATACAAAAATCAATTGACTAGAGTTCTGGTGGCTTTGTATTATGTCAACTCAGATGAACTGGACTTATATTTCCCTTCCTTGTATAGTTCTGGGTAGTGAGGGCCACAGGAGACACTATGCCTGACACCTGAAAGGAGTAGTCATATTTTTTAGTTTGAAGGTTGGTGCAGGTCACACTGTGGAACATGAACATCTTGTTGCTGATCTGAGCTTACTTGTTGGCGTGGGGAAGCAGCTGGAACTGCAGTTCCTTCAGCTCCCATCCGATCTTCTTTTTTAGGGTCTCCAAAACCTGGGCCTACACAGCTCCAAGGTCAAAGTGTCAGCCTTTCCTGCAGATCCCCCATAGCATTAAAACTGGAGTTGGCGCATGTGGCAAAAATTTGCTCCCCAAACGTAGGCTCTCTCTTCACCTCCTTGTTTCTTTTGCTGAGAAGCAGCTTTTCAGTAAATCCATCCCATTTATTAATTCTTGATTTTATTTCTTGAACTTTAAGAATCTTGTTAAGAAAGTTGGGGCCTAATCCGATATGATGAAGATTTGGGCTTACTCTTTCCTCTATTAGGCGCAGGGTCTCTGGTGTAATTCCTAGGTCCTTGATCCACTTTTGAGTTTATTTTGTGCATGGTCAGAGATAGGGGTTTAGTTTCATTTTGCTGCATATGGATTTCCAGTTCTCCCAGCACCATTTGTTGAAGAGCCTATCTTTTCTCCTATGTATGTTTTTAGCACCTTTGTCTAGTATGAGATAACTGTATTTATGTGGGTTTGTCTCAGTGTCTTATATTCTGTACGATTGGTTTACATGTCTATTTTGGTGCCAATACCATGCCGTTTTTGTTACTATAGCTTTGTAGTTAGAGCATTAATCTCCAGGATATATAAAGAACTCAAAAAACTAAACACCAAAAACCAAACAATCTAATCAATAAATGGGCTAAGGAGCTGAACAGACACTTTTCAGAAGAAGATATATAAGAACATGGCTGCGGGCGCAGAGAGATCAAGTCTCTGACCTCTTCAGCTGTGCGGGCATAGGGAGTCGTAAACAGTCTAAATTCTGTTTGCTCAGGGTCAATAGGAAATGCTGAGCTGACGTGAATCTGGGGCGAACAGTCTGGGCCTCTCAACACACACTGAGCCTGGATCGGCTGAATTCAAGCTCCCGTTCGCCTGCTTCCCGCAGACAAACAGCTGTGACTCAGCACTAATCCATCCGGCTGAAACAACTGGTCAGCCCTTCTGATCCTATGGAGGTAAATGCCAACCGAGCCTTCATAGGTAGTGGCCACAGGTTTGAAACGGGGCTTGGGAGAGACAGTAAGGACCCACCCGTTGCATTGGTCACCTGGCAAAGGGAAACGAACTGTCGCCATTTGCAAGAGATACCACCATGGCAGAGAACTGATGTCACCAGACTGCGGCAGACGAGATAACTTCATTGAAACCTGCGTCTACAGGTGTGTAATCCCCTAGCCTTCCCTCTCCACACATAGGGGAAACCTTAAGGGCCCTTCCCAACTCTCCCATAGGGCCCCTCCCAGCTCTCCCGTGAGCACGATACCAGACCAAGGGAATCAGAAGTGGCGCAGGACCCGCGGTGCGGAACTCCTGGCTACTGCTCCCACCAGTGCTGACACCTGAGATCTCTTGCACCAGCTACCGGGGGCGTGGCTACCAGAGGGCAAGTCAAATTCGCTGAGGATTCTCAGCCCCAAGCTCTACAAACTTAAGAGTCTGAGAGAATGGCAAACAGGGAGAGTGTGCACAGTCGTTCATGAAAACAGGGGTCCCGGGAGCAGCAGACCTGGTGTGTACCCAGTATTGTGGTGAGCGTCACC